CCTGTTAAATGAAAATGTATGAATATAAAATAATGGTGTATTTGGTGTAGTATAAATACATTAAACAATATCATTAAAGCAAAACACTTACATAGATTTGGACTTTGTCATAAAAGTGCAGCTCATTGTAGAAGACGTCATCTGTGTCATTTTTGCAGCTGTTGTAAGGACGGTGGAGTGGAGTTTAGAGCAAACATCATGAGAATTTATTCCCAGTGCCAATGCCAAAAACACATTTATACCCTATTATAATAAATAAAAAACTAGCCAACAATTAATCGCAAACTTACCATAAAATCAGTTTATCTGGCTGAATGTCCACCTTCACGTCTTTAGGTCTCTGAACCTTGAAGTTGACTGTGACATATTTTTTCCTGTCAAACCAGACAGCATGTGCCGGTTGACTGTAGAGAAAAAAACAAATATGGTTTTGTTTTGTGTCCTGATCAGTAAAAGGTCAGGTAGAGTAATAGTTTAGTAAAAGTTAAAGAGCGTGTTCTTACCATTCCTCGGGTCGAACTATTTTGGGCCTGTTCATTTTAATTTCTACTGAAAACTAAAGCAGAAACTCTCTCAGCAACAAACGTGGCTCCCTCAGTCAAACCTTGTGCTTTAACACAGTGTGCAGGCCCAGTTGGAACTATTTATAGAGCAGTTGGTATCAGCTGCTGGGGCAGACCTGCTCTGCCCTTTATAGTCTCTGTGTCTGTGGAACTCTCGGGAAAACAGATGCAAATGCATGTTTCTCAATCCACCCCCGACAGGGTCAGTGAGGAGATCAAGAGGAGCGGAGCAATGACATGCAGAGCTGGAGTGGACATGATAACAAATGTAGGTTCTAGAAAAAAGCTACATATAACTACATATGAAATTTAAGTTTTATTTCAGACACTTGTAATTGCATTGATCTCTAAATAATGGACTCAAACTAATAAAGTATAGTTCGCCAGATAAGCTAAATCCAGTCAAGACTCATAGAAATGCTGCATTTTAATACACTAAGTTATATGATATAAATGAATATGAATAAATGTTTCAAGGTTAATGCTTCAGGATTTTCCACCTAGTGGTGAAGTTACATGTTCCAGTCCAATAATTAAACACAAACGAGCCATTGGTTACTATAAGATAACAGGAATTTAGTCAGTCTACAGTGGGCACATTTTTTGAAGCCCAAATAAGGTTAAAATCTGATCTTAATATAACATACTCAATAGAAATGACACCATGTGGAAATATTACCGATAGAATTACAATCTTTTAATAACGTACAACAATAACACAGAGGCAACATCGCCCCCTACAGTTCCGGAACATACTCGCATAGCTTTCTACACCGGAAGTGAAATAATACGTTCTGGATGTTTGTTGGGAATGTGGCGCGAGAGGTTACTGGCCAAGTTATGACCACACAAAACCAAGAGTGGAATTGAAAAATCCATACCGACTCTAGTTCTTTTTTCAAATTATATTTGTGAAGATTCTTATTTTATCGTTCGTTTGTTCAAAGCAGGAGCAATTGGCCCTAACCGAGGTTAAAATGCCCCGCAGACGCCAGGTAAGAGCAAATGTTGATAACATTAGCCAGGTTAGCATAGATGTTCCTGTTGATATAGTGCATGCAAAAGTCTGTCGTTTAAACATATTAAATCATAGTTGTTCTCGCTGTAATGTTGCCTATGTGTTTATCTAAATCATGGCAAATTGCGTGTAATTTGAGTGATTCATTGATTGATAATGATTCATTTGTATGTTCCTGTTACGTTATCCTGTAATACAGCCGAGTGGGCGTTAACACTCGGTTGGCAAAACAAGTCTATTTAACACATGATGAATGTGTCAGCAAAATTGTTTCTATTTTAACAACTTCAGATTATTTTTATGACTTCAAAGGAAAACTATATAAAAGAAGTTTCATCTTTAAACGTAAACTTCACTCTCTGTTAGCAGTAAAAGACGAAGGTGGTAGTTGTGCTAATGCTAAATGCTATATGCGTCCAAGGTTTTCCCTCGACTAATGTCGTTGCTCTGTTCTTCTGATCAGTCTTACTTTTCTATATATATACTGTTATATCGTGTTAGTTCCAATTATAGCAGTTGCAATTCCTCCGTCTCTGATCAATAAAGTTCAGTCTAGTGTAACAGTTAGCTAAGTCGTTAGCTGAGTTCCTAGCTCATGTTTAGCTGTCACCTTCAATCCCAACATATATTCATGGGGCAGATTCTAAGTAAAGTAAGCGAACACAACACCGCCTGTCAAATATTTGATGCAATATACAGCAATTTGAACACTTATTATATTTATACACACTACCTGTGTTCTAACCACTGTCAACAGTGTATGATGCACAGTATTTCTGTCAGCTTTTAGCAGTTTTACTTTAGTTTGTATTTAGCCAACATCAGCTAGATTGATTTTTTTTCCACTTTGATAAATTATTTTTGATTTTTCTCCTCTGTAGAGACACATAGCTGGTAGTGGTTCAGATGGAACTGAAGACTCAGACTCTTCTGCTGAAAGAGAGCAGACCAATAGCTCTGAAAGCGATGGGAATGTTCCTAAGAGACAGCGTCTTACCAGAGCCTCTACACGCCTCAGCCAAAGCTCTCAGGGTGGGCCAAGAAATCCTGCTCATATTCACTTTCACAGTCTTCTTTAAGTCTTTAGAAACTAGTGACTTTATTTGTTGACATTAGATGCTGTGGATGGGAAACGCGCAGCAGACCATGATGAATCTCCACCACTGACGCCAACAGGAAATGCTCCATCGTCTGAGTCTGAGCTGGACATCTCCAGCCCCAACGCCTCTCATGATGAGAGTCAGTCCAAAGACCAGGCCAGTAGAGACTTGGACAAAGACATGTCCCATCGACCCAAGCGACGGCGCTGTCATGAAACGTACAACTTCAACATGAAGTGTCCCACACCAGGCTGTAACTCTATGGGTGTGTTTTCTTTGCAGCAGTAAATTATTCTGCTACTGTTATGTTTTGTAATGAATATTTCTTTTTCTGTGTTAGGTCACTTGACAGGGAAACACGAGCGTCATTTTGCTGTGTCAGGCTGCCCACTTTACCACAATCTCTCTGCAGACGAATGCAAAGTTGGTAGTTTTAGATTTTTCTGTATTTATAATTACTTGTTTATTAGTAATTTATAATTACTAATTACTTACTCATCAACTTTGGAACATACGTTGAGAATATCAAATATAATAGATTTTCACCAGAATTTCTGCTGTTTATACATATAATTACATTGCAACTTTCATCACAATGATCAATTATTGGAGTCTGGTCATATTAGAATTTTTCTGAGCTTTCTTGAGTCCAAATAATATTGTTTATTAATATGTATCAGTGTCTCAGGTAATTTTGTGTAGTTTATGTGTCTTCTTGGCTTTGACTTTTATATTTTTATATATTTTAAGATATTAGCAAGAAAACAGTTAGCGATGTCTGGGCTAACATTTAGCTATTTTTAGAATAACTAACTGAATCAGATTCTACAAGTTCATGCTGCCTTTTTTAATATTTTTAGGTGAAAGCTGTGACTCGTGAGAAGCAAGAAGAGGAGATGAAAGGGCACGAAGAAAACAACTCGCGGCACGCAACACGGCATCAGGTTTTATTTTTATACATTTTGTACAAAACAAATGGTGTAAAACCAGTGAGGTTGTATCTGTCATGACTAACAAATGTGGATGTTTTTTCAAGTACCCAGATTAACAATAATTAAAGTTGGACAAAAGAGTGAAAGCTGCTGTTGCTTAGTAACAGTAGAAATAAAGAACCGCGTGGTTTACAGTTGATTTTCAAATGCTACAGGTCGGGTTCAGACACTCACATTTTCTCTTCTGCTTTTCTCTTCAGACACCAACACCAAAACAGAGCAAATACAAAGAGCAGGTGGCTGAGATGAGAAAGGGGAGGAACTCTGGTCTACAGAAGGAGCAGAAAGAGAAGCACATGGTAATGTCAGCTACTCCTTATCAGGATGTTACTGCTACAAAGTGATAACGATTGTGTTGTTAAATGTCTCGTTTCTCCATCGTTTGGACCCGTAGGAACATCGTCAGACCCATGGGAACACCAGAGAACCTCTGCTGGAGAACATCACCAGTGAATACGACCTGGAGCTGTTCAGGAAAGCTCAAGCCCGAGCATCGGAAGACCTGGTACTAAATACTGTCACAGGATTTTAACAGGATTTCTCTGTCAGCACAGCATGTTTCTTTCAAAGTGAAAGGATTGCCTTCAGCAGAGACGGCCAAAGGCCAACTGTTGTTGCTTTTTTACACCAGGTGTTAAAAATGGCAGTATAACCGTATGTTCTCTTCCTGCAGGAGAAGCTGAGGATCCAGGGTCAAATCACAGAGGGCAGCAACATGATCAAAACCATCCTGTTCGGCCGCTATGAGCTGGACACCTGGTACCACTCGCCGTACCCCGAGGAGTACGCACGGCTGGGCCGACTGTATGTCTGTGAATTCTGCTTGAAGTACATGAAGAGTCAGACCATCCTCAGGAGACACATGGTGAGAAAGTCCAGGGTGAAACAGAGATGGAACGGATGCTAGTAACTGTGTGTGTATGTGTGTGTGTGTGTGTGTGTGTATATATATATATATATAGACAAGAAATTTTAAGGATATATATATTTATATATAGACAAGAAATTTTAAGGATATATATATTTATATATAGACAAGAAATTTTAAGGATATATATATTTATATATAGACAAGAAATTTTAAGGATATATATATTTATATATAGACAAGAAATTTTAAGGTTATATATAGTTATATATAGTCAAGAAATTTTAAGGTTATATATAGTTATATATAGTCAAGAAATTTTAAGGTTTGAAATAATAACATTGAATGTTTTCAGGCCAAGTGTGTGTGGAAACACCCTCCAGGGGATGAGGTTTACAGGAAAGGCAACATCTCAGTGTTTGAAGTGGATGGAAAAAAGAACAAGGTGAAGACTTCCTCTGTCACAAATGTCCTCATCACTTCACTATCTTCTGCTGTGGACTCGTCTTTGTCCGAGTCTCTGAGTCTGTGACTCAGTCCTGCTGTGGTTCTGTCTCTCCTCAGATCTACTGTCAGAACCTGTGTCTATTGGCCAAACTCTTCCTGGACCACAAAACCCTGTACTACGACGTGGAGCCGTTTCTATTCTATGTCATGACGGAGGCTGACAACACAGGCTGTCACCTAGTGGGATACTTCTCTAAGGTGAAAAGAGAAAACTGTCTTTGGTTGTTGATTTTATCAGCTATACAAGAACAGCCATATATTCTGCTGTAGAGGAGCAACTGAAATGTTTGTCTTCACAGGAGAAGAACTCCTTCCTCAACTACAATGTGTCCTGTATCCTGACGATGCCTCAGTACATGAGACAGGGCTTTGGAAAGATGCTCATTGACTTCAGTATGTACACAGTTTTTTCTTCATGTGTCTGTTTGATGTATAATGTATGTCTGTTGTCATAAAAGTACTAGGTTACATTGAATATTGTAGATGTTATTGTACTTGTCAACGTTATTGTTGCAGTTTATTGTTTTGTTGCAACATATTTTCCTCATTTCTATGTTTTACTTTTATAAATTAAATGTAATAACAGTAAATAATTGTAAAGTTAAGTCAAAAGAATACATTTGAAAATGCAGACAATTAAAAACCATCTGTCATTTCATTCATAATCATTTAAATGAATAAACTGAGAGCCAGTCTCCATGCAGGTTACCTTCTGTCCAAGGTGGAAGAGAAGGTGGGTTCTCCAGAGCGCCCTCTATCAGACCTGGGTCTCATCAGCTACAGAAGCTACTGGAAGGAAGTTCTGCTGCGATACATGTACAACTTCCAGGGCAAAGAGATTTCAATCAAAGGTGAGCAGCACGTCTGTGTGTATTTTTCTTCAGATACATGTGTACAGATACTTCACACTGACCCATGTGTTTTATCTGCTGCTCAGAGATCAGTCAGGAAACTGCAGTAAATCCTGTGGACATTGTGAGTACGCTGCAATCTCTGCAGATGCTGAAGTACTGGAAAGGCAAACACCTGGTATTAAAGAGACAGGTGAGGAAAATCTGTGGACTGTGTTGTAGTACTGAAACTTCAGCTCCAGTGACTTTTTTGGTTGTTTTAAAAATGTCAGAGAATCAAAAAATAACTTTGTGAATACATTAGTATTACAGCTGTGTATTTGAAAAATCTTTTTTTAAACAAAAATATAAACACTAATAAGTAAAATAAAAAACCCTGCATGCATATTTATTAACACACAGAGCCACTTAAAAATTAATATTTTTAAAGACAAAATATCACTTATAAAAAGGTAACAAATTCAAAATAAAAAAATCCAGCTATATGTCCTTGACTGTGTCCTGAATTTGCAAATTGACTCTAAAAGTGCTTGAACCGGCCTTGAATTTGAACCAGGTAAAGTCATGTTTTTTCACCTCTGGTTCATGTCATGATTTTTTTTGTTTCTCTTCATCAGGACCTTATTGACGAGTGGAAGGCCAAGGAGGTGAAACGAGGAAACAGCAACAAAACCATTGACCCTACTTCACTAAAATGGACACCTCCCAAAGGAACATGAGCAGCAGGAGCAGCTCCCAACTGAACCAGACTAAAGTTAACTGAACTTAACTTGAACCTTCAGCCACAAACAGCCTTCACCTTAAACTGTCCACTAAAATCAGTATTTTCCTTTTTTTGGAGGCTTTTTTCTGTTGTGTGTCATTAAACCATTTTTGTACTTTTATATATTTTGTTTTAGTTTTCATTAATACTTGGAACATCAAACTAAATGTTAGAAACACATTTGTTGAAAAACAAAACAAAAAACAACCAATAAATATTTTGAGAACTTTAAAACAGAATTCATAGTTATCTTTATTTCTTTCCCATTCAGGAAGTTCAGAATAAATGTTTTTATGACATACGTTCATCCTCAACATGATGTAAAAACGAGGATAAGGTCTGTAGCGCCATCTTTGGTGTAAAATGTGTCCACATAAGACGCGCATCATACAACTACACAGTAAATTTCATCAAGTACGAAATTGGTCATTGCTTTAGCTCAGAGGCCATGTCTCTGTCCGTCCTGTAGCAGACCCAAGTTCCAATCCGGGTACGACAATTGTGTCAAACTTCCGTCTTTTCTTGTAAAGGACATGGTGTAGTTTCACCAAAGACTAAAAGTAAGCAGCGGTGTCTCCTTTGTGACGCGGGACTCCATTACTGTCCCCACAGGACTCTGCTTTAGTCCTAATTAAGGACTAGTTTTTCCTTGGGAGGGGATTTGAGGCAGCACCAGCCCGTACCCACGAATGGAGAGGACACTCACCTGTTTGAAGCAGAAGGGCATGGTGAGCACACTGACGCCCACGATACTGTTCACCACGTTCATGATGAGTCCGGAGTTCGACGCCGTCATTTTGAACAGATATTAATTACTAACTTAAACCAAATTTGTTTGCAGTGGAGTGGAACTAAGTCCGTCCAATATCTAGTCCTGAGCTGTGACAGCAGTGGGACCAGGAGCCCGGACTTCAGCTAAAATCCGGGTGAGTGTGTTTTCTTTCCTGACTCCGTGGATTAGTGACTCTCGAGAGCAGGGGTTCCCAAACCCCGGACCGGGAACGAGTGCCGGTCCGTAGGTCATTTAGTACAGGGACACAGTGGAAAAAATGTATTTAAATTTTACTAATCTACATCATTGAAAAATAATCCAGTTATATTCATTAACATTTGTTTCAATTAAAGCTCATCTGGCGATGTTTCAAAACAATGGGTCATTCAGACTCTGTTACTAACAGAATAAAGTCTAAAAGATGTTTTATTTAGAAATTTAATGATCCTTCAACGTTGGCGCGTAATAACCGGTTCCCAGTAACGGCTGATATCGGCCGACAGGTCCTTGGTACAAAAAAGTTTGGGGACAGCTTCTTCATAAAAGCTGTGAGTTTGCTTTATCTCCCGGTCGATTGAAACCTTCGGATGCAATGAACGCAAGATTCAGGATATCAGAAATAAATCAGATCTAAGGATAACTGTTTTCTTCTGAACGCGTATCCAGGAAGTGAAGGTTAGAGTCGAGGAAGTTTTAGAAGACGGAACAGACCGCAGGGACTAACAGTGTTGAAGTACTCTGGCTCCCGCTAGCGGTCTTGTATTGATACTGCGGTTCGATTCACTTGCTTATTAAAACGGGTCTCTTTTTCCTCATACTCCCTGCACATTTCCATACATTTTTAGTTTATATTTTAAGTGTGTATTTTATTGAAATGTTTTTTCTTGGCTTGGTGGACTTTGAGTAGAGAGCAGACGAAAGAACTACTCAAAATATGTTCTTACAATTCATATATATCCTGGTATGTGTTCATGTGGACTGGAGGTCAGACATTCGGTTATTTTTTACTTGACTGACTTTTATTTGGGCAACTTTTTTTTAACAACCTTATATATATTTTTTCTATTTTCTAACCTGTTAAAGCTTTTAGTTTTCTTTATTCATTCTTTATATCTATTCTTTATTTATATTTTAGTTCATCCAGTCTTGTTTGTTATCCTGTACAACCTGGTGGTTTTAGTTCAGATCTTTTTTTATCTTTTAATTAAGTTTTGGACATTTCTAAATTTCCTCTTAGTAATTATTTTGGTTAGTGTTTGTGTATTATTGGCTTACTCCCTGTTTTGTTCTCAGTACAGTTTGAATGACACTTGTTCTTCATTAAGATGTTAGGGCTCACGTCGCTCACCTCTCATCTAATGATGATAACATCAGCAGCTACGCTCGGATCCTGTTTTTCCAGATGCCTTGGAGATTCCCTGTTTACCGGAAAAGGAAAGGGGCAACAGTGGGGGCGGGGGGGAATGGTGTGAGGGGCTATACTGTAGGTGCGAGAGGGAAACAACCTTTGAACATTTGTGGATGACGTCAGAGAGTTTAAAGTTAGACTGAACACCTGAAGCAGCGCTGGCATGATTTCCATTGCTCCACACGCCTGTCTGGTGCCCTCCCTGATGCATGACCATTGTGTTGTTTGACCAGGAAGGAGGTATGGAAGGAGGAGGTCAGGGGGGAGGAGAGTTGACCTGGGATCTTTGTCCTCTGGTGGATGAAGGATTTCCAGAAGCAGGGATGTGATGGAGCTTTGAAAGACAGATGTGGGGATTTCTAAATGGAATCATTTGCATGTGAACATGTGTAGAAATGTCCTTCCTTGGGATCATTCTGAAAAGTCTCCTCTAAAAACACGTTTCTAGGATTATACTTTCTAAAGCGTCGCCTCATTTCTATTTTTTGCCCCTCATTGTTGGCTCAGTCCTGGGTTTTTGCCCTTCAACCTGCTGCTGTTCCAGCGCTGTCTTTTACATATATGATCTAAATAAACTTTATTGTCGTCATCTTTGTGTGTGCACGTCTAGTGTGTGTGTGTGAGAGAGAGACTGTGAGTGTGTGTGTGTGTCTGCGCATATGTGTATGATCAGTGAGGTTAAGGCAGGAAAACCCTGGCCATTGTGCACTGGTGACCCCTCAAAATCAATGTGACAGAGCGCTTGATTGGCCGGAGGGTCCTGTCTCTCTTCACCTAATCCCTCAAGGTGGACCCTTGGCCAGGCCTGCTGCTCTCCCAAATGTGTGTGTGTGTGTGTAGAGTTGAGGATCTTTACTCCTGTGTGTCTTTCTGCACCTAATCCTTCAAGATAGACCTAAGACCACGGGATGGGGCATTAGTGCAGTTACAGGGGGTCAGGCCTGGCTGTGTGTGTATAGGAGACAGAGCTTTAAGTGGGAGCTCTCCTCCACAGTAGTCTAATTAGACGACAGAGAACTGATGTATTTCTCTGGCACTCACTCATGTGTGGAAGTTGTGGCTCTTGCTTTTATTTGGGGTGGGGGCACATTTTCGGGCAGATTTGGACGGATAACCTAGTCGGGGTGAAATTAGACGCAGGCATCTGGATTTGACCCCGGGTCCTCGCCGCAGCCCCTTGGGTCACCCTGGGGTCACGGGGCACAAAGCAGAGCACTGACCCAGCACAGGTCAAGCATGCGGGCGGCTGAAAGGACGCCTTTGTGGGGCCTGGCATGCTCACCATTTCCCATGAGCACCAGGGGGAACTGTGTCTGCCCAGGAAACTGGACCGGAGATGTGAGGAGCCAGACGAGGTGTGTGTGTGTGTGTGTGCGCGTGTGTGTGTAAACCATAATTGATTTCAGTTTATACTATTCCTGCCTGTTTGCCTTATGATTATCACTGACTGAGGGTCACAGTTTACTCAGATTTGGATTTACTGCTGCACAAGTCGCTGTGTGTTTGTTTTCAGTGTTTTGGTTCAACTGTCAAACTGTTGAAGGAAAAATAACCTCCAAATGTGTGAGTTTAAAGTCCAGATGAGGGATTACACGGTGATTGGATTAAAAAAAAAACTCACCAACTCACCATAATGAATCGGTATTGAACAGTCCAAAAAAATCTAAAATATAATATATATACAATATATATATATCCATGTATTTTAAAAATAAGGTTTATCTTATAATAGTCTTTTAACGTCTCTGTCAAATTAATATCAGCTACAAATGAACAGGAATTAAAGGATAATCACTGAGGATTCTGAACCAGCGTTCTTTGTGTTTAATCATGAACATCGGGTTCTTCACAGAAGTTAGCATGCAGCTGAATATCTCACAGCTAAGAATATTTAATAAAATACTTTTATTTTAAAAGATTTCCCAATAATAACATCAATGTTAAAATGTAGCTGAAATAAGAATTCCAATTTTGCATATTATGTGTATATTTAGTGAAATATAACTAGCTATAAAGATTTAAAAACTGTATTTGAAAAACAGGAATGTGTTGCAATAAATAATAAAAATACAGAAAAAACAAACCTGGGGTTTGTATAACAGATGGTTGAAATTAAATCAATAATAAAAATAATAAATCACAACAAATAAAAAAATAATGGGAACAAATTCAGGAGCTCAGGAGATCAATAGACAAAAATATGTTTTTAGGATGAAAAACAAACGACTTTATTAGTTACTTTAAAATGAACAGTTATTAAGTGTTGATTTACAGTTAGCTTCAAATTGGGCCAAAACGACATGTAACAATAGGCCGTAGGTGTCGTGAACTGTGCTAAAAGTTAAACAAAATTAGCTAAAAACAATTAGCCTCATGATAACTTAGACAGAGTTTAAATTCCATTTGAAGGATTACATGCCGTCCCACCCTGGAGCTAATTCCCTTTCAGATCCAATCCTACTTCTCTTTCACAGCTCATGGAGATTTATTATCTTTTCTTTCTCTTTCTTCTGTTTACGTTTGTGTGTCGGGGGAATGAGGGAGGGAGGGAGGGAGGGACGATGAGGGGGAGGAGGAGCAGGGGGAGACGGAGGGGAGAGAGGTGCATGGCTCAGATTTGTAGGTACGCCTGTGGCCGTTGCTTGTGTACATCTGTTAGCGCCTCCTTAATGAGCAGGAGGACGCTGCCTGCAGTCCTGTGTGTGGCCCTGTGAGGGGCAGCCTGGAGCCCTCTGCTCCAGTAATCTCATTTAATTACGCCGCCGCATTAGACGACCAATGAATGGGGTTTTTAGGCGAGGCCTCTCACACAGAAATTGGCGGCATCCAGCTGAACATTGACCACCTTTGTCCCCCCGTCCCCACTCTGTCCTATTAAGACTTTTGTCATTTGACCATCAGCACAGCGACCACGCTCTACAGCACTAACAACTGCCCCACTAATGCTGCACATTAAAAAAACAAAGATGGGAAGGTAAAAAAGGAAACAATGGACAGTCTTTTTCTTGCTCTGTGGCTGAACGGCGTGCGTCTGACCCCCAGCCTCCCTCCCCCCAGAC